TTGAAAAACACCTATGGGGCTACTATCTACCTCTACTTATAATTCAGTTCAATTCTCGACCATAGTTTCTTCTTGTTGAAAAGAAAAAAAATAATTAACAGATATTAATAATTGGTTAGCTAATTAGTCAACAATCATAGCAGAATTATCACCTACCTTTGCACAAGCATTCAGCCATCCTCCTGTATGAAGGAGACTTGCTTGCAAGTACCGTTTAAATTGTAATGCAAAACTTGTCCTGCAATGCAATGACCGGGATTTCCAAATTCCTTAATTTTTATTTATATTAATATATTAAAAATATAAAAAAGTCTAGTGTTGTGGCTAACAAGATAGTCAAAAAGGTTTTGATTAGAAAAAAAAAATGTTGATAATATTTATGGCTAAAGGTGAGAGGAGGCTGTAAACCACATTATATTGTGTTGAAGAGAAAAATAAAAGGTGGTGGCTTGACATGGCTTAGTGGTGTGGTGATGTTAATAACATTCACTATGATAAGAGGATGAAAAGGGTAGTCAAGGTTTTGGTTTTTTAATCAATAAGATTTTTTATTTATTTATTTTTTGTTGTTTATAGAGAATTTTTCTTCTCTTTTGTTTTTTCGGTGAAAGGTTGCTAGTTTTATTTTTTTGTCTTCTTCTTTGTATGGTCTCCTTTATTAAAAGCCTAAATAGAAAAATAATATTAAATATTTATATTATTTATTGCTTGAACTAGGATATCCTTATAATTTTTCAATTTTGCTTGATTCTCCTATTTATTTATTTTTATCTTATATGCATGATTTTTCATTATAATATTTAATTCACTGTCATCTTAGCCACTTTTTTATTCCTTATTCATCTTTTTACTCCCTCATCTCTTTTTTATTTATTTTTTATTTTTTTAGTTTAAAAATATGTTGGAAATGGAGGTTAAATAATGAGTTATCACATCTAATATAAATAATGGAGTAGAATTTGATGTTTAAATAAAACTCAAATATTGTATCAATATAAATAGATCATCTAACTACTTGAAGATATTTAGTCCCATGTAATTTTTTTCTACATTTTATTCAATTTATCTTTATTTACAACTTTTACTTGCTTTATTTATCATTTTTTACTTTCAATTTATTTCTTCCTTTTTTATGTATTTTTGTTATTATGTGGTGTGGCGTAGATTAGATATACTTTTTTCAAGGTTTGAAAAACACCTATGGGGCTACTATCTACCTCTACTTATAATTCAGTTCAATTCTCGACCATAGTTTCTTCTTGTTGAAAAGAAAAAAAATAATTAACAGATATTAATAATTGGTTAGCTAATTAGTCAACAATCATAGCAGAATTATCACCCACCTTTGCACAAGCATTCAGCCATCCTCCTGTATGAAGGAGACTTGCTTGCAAGTACCGTTTAAATTGTAATGCAAAAATTGTCCTGCAATGCAATGACCGGGATTTTCAAATTCCTTAATTTTTTTATATTAATATATTAGAAATATAAAAAAAATAATTTTTTTAAATCAAAATTTATTTAACTCAATCAAAACGCAACTCCCATTTGAAATTACAACTCCCACTTGAAATGGAATTTCAATTTAAAATTATACTACCAATAATAATTTAAAGTATTTTTTATTTAAAAATATATTAAAATAATTTTTTATTTTTTAAAAATTATTTAAAACATCAATATATTAAAATAATTTTAAAATAAAAAAATTTATTTTAAATAAAAAATTTTATTTAAATAAAAAATTTTAAAATTTTAAAAAACACGATACAAACCAACCACCAAACACACGAGAGCCATCTGGGAGTCAGATTTAACTGCAAACAATTGGGAACAAGCAAAACAAATTCACCGACAAAGCTACTCAATGTTCTTCCACCTTGTTGGGAAACATGTGTCTCCAAATAAGGCAACCAGTCACGATCTGCTCGACTTACCAGTGTATTATTTGATTCTGGTACTAGAATTGAAAAAATAAATAAATAAAAATGAGCAGCTGCTTCTTTGTTAAACAGGAGCAAAAGCTTTAGCTCTGAAGAGGAGCGCGGCTTGGCGGCATATCGCTATTCAAATAGTGATGCGCTTGCAGCATGTACTGCTTGCATCAGGTGCATCAACAGTTGGCCAAATCAGCGTGTTCTCCACATCAGCAACATCATCTATCTATGAAACCTAAAGCTTGTAAAGGAGAGTCGTAATAAATCCATTCTGAGTTTGAATTCGCTTTGCCACTACAACATAATCATGTAAAAGATGATTATCAAAATTATCCTTCTTTCTAACCATTAATCAAGTGGCAACATTCAAGTCTGACAAACTATCTCGTATTAGGTCACTAAAAAGATTCCAGCTACCTTGGCAATTTTCAATCTTCTTTACTGCCAGTAATGCTCATGAGATATTGATTCAAATGCTGGCCAAAAGTTTTTGTTGAGAATGACTCAGCAACATGCTTCCTGGCCTCTCCACCCATTCTGCTTGCCATCTGAGGATCCTGAATGAGTTTAGCCATCGCCAAAGAGAAATCTTCAGGGGTGGGGTCACAAAGAAATCCTGTTTCTGCATCCTTAACAGTCTCCACAGGGCCCCCACTATTGCATGCAATTACAGGCTTATGGGCTGCCATTGCCTCCAATGGGACGATGCCAAAGTGCTCATCCTACATTTATTGAACAGTTAATATAAAACCCTCTTTTCATCTCAAAGTATGATCAATGTTATAGACAAGTGAAAGGGATCAGACCTTTGGAGTATAAATGACACACAGGCACTGTGAAAGAAGTTTATTTCTCTCAGCTGTTGAGCAGGACGTAATGAAGCTAATCCGAGATGAGACTCCTTCCCTTGCAGCCAGGTGTTTAAGTTCATCCAGGTATTCAACATTCTCTCGCAGTCGACTATCATATCCACCTGAAAGACAAATTACAAGCAAGCACCTAATGAGCAAAGTTGTGGTTTTACCATTGAAACACGTCTAATTTGTCTTCCCTACAAATCAGGTTAATATTCCAATAGCCCCATCTCAAAAAAAAAAAAAAAAAAAAATCTCTTGTCAACTCATAAAAAAATTGCATATTTCACTATCTGTTACAAGAATATCTGCATTTTGCAGAACACAGCCTCCATAACATATTTTCTATCCATTCCACCCTTTAAAAAAATGCAATAGAAAATTGAAAAGTAATCATGTAAAGTGTAATTTCAATCTTAAAGGTCTTTAGTGAAGGTGCATGTATTCCCCAGTCCCTCCCTTCCTCTTTTTTCGAGAGAAGGTACATGGCCCTTTCTGCAACAAGCAAAGAGAGGAAGGTACATGGCCCTTTCTGCAACAAGCATAAAGGGATAAAGAAACACTGCATCCCAAGTACAAAAACCATTTTCCAAACTCATCATTATATGAAATTCTTTAGTAATGTAACCCAGGAAAGAAGCAAATTGAGACTTGCCAGCAATGGTCAAAGTAGCTTCATTTAGTTTTTGACTTTGAAGGGCATGTTCCTCAAGGGCGTGAAGTCTGGCAAAGGCAGAAACTGCCAATTCTATGTTCTTTTTCCTTTCAAAGCGATTTATTGAGAGAAAATTCAACCTATGCCACATGAAACAGATAAGAATAAGATTCTGAACTACTGGTGGGAAAAATGCAATGAAAGAAATTCTTCTATGACATTTCAAGAGCATGCCTAGAGTTACAAGATGCAATATATATACAATAATTTTCGTTACTTATAAGAATGTGGTTCATCAAATTGGTCCATGTTAACAGCAGGATAAAGAACAGCAGGTCGGATTCCCCGTGCATGAAGACGCTTGAATGTATTCGCAAAGGTAGATGCAGTGAATTTGCTGTTAACAAGTATCATATCAGCCATGCCTGCAGTCCCCAAGAGCAGTAAATGAGAATTGGTAGGTTCAACTGGAACAAAGTTAACACCAAAGAGACATTTCCTGTAAAAAAACAGCAGATAAATTGGAAACAGACCTGTTGTAATTTCTTCTACAAAGTCAATGGGTTTCCTGTAAAACCTTCGGAGAAAAGTTGTATGGTGAGCAAGTAACAAATCTGGAAAATGACAATAAAAAACCACCTGGATATACAGGACTAGAGTGTAAGAAACCTGAGGCTAAAACCTTTAAACAACAGTTCAGTTCATATCAAAGGCATAGAATATAATACCTTCATTGATTTTTTAAGTTTCAAAAGTGGGATGACAACAGAAACCTGATCTGCCAATATAACATCAAAAGATGGCCACAGGAATAACACGCAAAGGGCAACGAAAATGCACCGCAAATACGCGCATAAGGCATGAAAACGGTAGAATACATGCCGAGGCAGGAAAGAACCATATACAGTAACCGGGAAGGTACCTGTGCGGCCAGCCAATATTTATGAATCAGGTGCATCATAGAATTTATCCAAATCAAATACAGGAAACAGACCTTAAAGGAGAAGAAAATGAAAATAAACGCAAGTTACCGGAAACAGTTTCTTCAAAGCATCGGTTTTTATCATGATGAGCAGTAAAAATATGAACATCGTGGCCATGGGAGACAAGTTCAACGGCAGCATCGACTATTAATCTTTCGGCTCCACCTTTGAATCATTTTAATATACAAAAAAAGGAGCTTCATTCTGGTTATTTAATTCCTTTTACCATACAAGCATTGAATTCTTTTACAAATCACACGATTGAATTAGCTTCGTAAAATAAATAAACAAAACAAATTTCTAAAATTGAAAAATTGGAGAGAAGGGGAGTAGAAATTTACCTATACCAAGATCTGGATGAATGATGGCAATATTTAATTTTCTCTCCATTTCTTTGCTCCTCTTGATCTAATTCCAGCGATCAATCGTTAGGGGCCGCAGGCTGCGTTGAGGAAGAGAAAGACGTCGTTTAATGCGTAAAAAGCGACTTGTCGTTTGACTATGAGCAGTAAAATAATAAAAAGAAAAAGAAAGAAAGGCTCCGCTTCCGCTCTCTCTCGTATAAAAACGAATACCGAAAGAAACAATTGATAGGAGGACTCTGAATCCAGTATAGGAGGACTAGAGATCACAATACAAGCGAATTCTTTGGGGACGATTGGAGAAGATGACAATAGAAGAGGCAGCGGCAGGCCCTGCCGGCCCTAAGGTTCTCCGTCTGCTCTACTTTGTCGGCGCTGGATGTAAGTGTTGCTTAATTCATGCAATCTATCTATCTATCTATCATCCAATTAAAATCTACTTTTTTGGGGTTTATTTGGCAGTTATTTGCACAGTTGGAATCAACAAGTGGAGAGAAATCGAGCGAAAATCAATCCTTGAACAACAGCAGCAAGAGAAGAAGATGAAGAACGATTTTCTGCCTCGAAGCTCAACAAATTCCGTGCAGAAGGCCATCAAATGATCATGTCTCTTCCTCAGGTGGTCATTTCCTTTTCTTTTTGTGTTGCAGAATTTGTAGTAAATCTACTATTTTGTACTCGTAACAAAATAACTCTTAAACATTTAGGCAACACTCACTTCTTTTTATCTGTGATTTAATTTCTTGATAAAATATATAGTTTTGGCTAATTTATTGCTGGCAACAAATGTCACGGAGAGTTTGGTTGTTCATTGTGAGAGCTGGCAGCCTTCAATCCTGAAAATTTTGTATTTCGATCCAATTTCCTTTTGAGCTTAGTAACTTTTGATGCCTGTATGCTCATATCAATTTAGATTTATTTATTTATTTATTGCTAAAAAGTTTGATTTAGTTAAATTTTGGATTTGACCTCTAATTGAAGAAAGTCATAGCCGGGAGACAGAGAGAGAGGAATGTTTTTGAAGGTTGAGCTAGGCGAATCTTTCTTTCCCAAACTTTTTCCTAATGGACTGTCAAAAGCTTCATTTAAGCTTCCTTGACTGTTTTACATTTTAGTAATGAAGGTTTTTGATAGTATTTTATTATGTTTAGCATTGTCCCAATACTGCGTTTTGAGGACCCTTTGATTTTTTTAAGGGGCTGAAAAACTAGCATTACAAAACACCATTGGCATTACAAACAAGGTGTGCTTGGTAGGAAGGATGGGGAGAGGACTGATGCTGCGTTTTCTTTGCTTTCCACGATGGATCAAGACTTGCTTCCTATCCATTTTCAGTTGTAATTTACAATTCTCCCAATCTAGGCAGATTAAGTTTCAGCATTACTCTCCCTTCATACCCAAAAACTTAGATGGATGAGTTAACGTCAATCTTTTTTCCTCTCCATTCTACCTTTCGACTCTTTTCATCTTTCTCTTTATCAATCCCTCATGAGAAATAGACTAAGACCGGCATAGATGTTCCATTTGGATTATTTCGTTTCTTAAACGTTATTAATGTTCAGTCATTTAGTATTGTGGAAAGAACTCGTTTGTAAAAGACCATGTCTCACCTTAGGCAAACAAGAATTTATCTCCTCAAAACCAAAATAAATCATAAATTCTAATAGACTTGAGCATGAGAAGGTAATGCTTGAGTGTGGAAACTTGATGATCCTAAAACTCTCGTGCTCCTTGGGAAAGTGTGCACCTCTGCTTGTGGAAGTGCGTTGTCTGGAGTAGGTTATCTTTTATCTTACTAAGAAAGATTTGAACTCAATACTTGAAAGGAAGAGGAATGTTAATGCAAGTGGAGCTACAACTTCTTAGCTAGCTTGTCCGGATAAATTTAACATTCTCCTCCTCGATCATGGGTTTCTATAGTTTCATTGACAACAAATTATAACTCTAACTAAGGGCTTAATGTAAACAATACTTCTGCTTTGGAAAATTCTGCACGTGTAGGAAGAAATACGTAACTTTGTAGTATTGAACGATAGTGAGAGGAGGGGCAGTAGTGTTTTTTTTTCTTTCAAGTATTTAGTTTTGTTGATTCATGTCTTAGTGTGTTTTAGGCATTATGATAGCTTTTATAATTGTGATTTAAAAAAAATATGTATAAAAAAAAGATAAAATTGTAGTTTTTTTTAAATTCAAGTTTTTACTAGAATTTGATATGAAAAACAAATTTAAGCGGTGAAAACTAAATTTATTTCATATTAGCATTTCATTTGTGCGTTGAAATTTTGAATTTGTGATCAGTTTAAAAACATCTTTAACCATCTTTAAGCCAAACATATTAGCATTTCATATTAGCATTTCATTTGTGCGTTGCCGCATATCATAATTTTTTTTTAACAAAAAAACCTCTAGGTATGCAAGTTAATTTTTTTTTAAATCAAAATATAAATAAAAAACTTATGTAAGCATCTAATTAAATAAATCAATAATTATTTATGTAAATAAATTAAACAAAAAAATTATTAACAATAACTAAAGAGAGACTAAAAAATTAGAAGATAAATATAGATAAAGATATTTAATATAAGTTATTCACTCAATTATATTTGATGAATTTATTTATGAAAATCAATATGTAACAGAAATTGATATATATATATAATTTATTGAATAAAATAAAAAGAAAAAAATATATATGTAAGGTTGCTTCTATTAAAAATATTGTAAAAAAAATAAATGTTTTTATTTAAAAAAATAAGTTTAATCTATATAAAAAAATTATAGATGAATCACATTAACCCTGTAAAAAAATTAAACACATTCAATATAATAGTAAAATAATTTATATTTCAAAAATGATAAATAAGCCAAAAAAATAGAGAATGAGTATTAATCAAAACATAAATACAAAAATTATTTTTAAAAATACATATGAAAAACTATTAGTTTTCTAAAAAAAAAGAAAAGTATGAAAAGAGAGAGAGAGAGAGAATAATGACACCAAGTGTTAAGGGTCTAGTAAGTCAAGTGTTGTGTGCTTGCAAAGCTCAGCTTGGTCCTTGCTAAGCTCAACCTAATGCCTGACCCACAAAGAAAGGACTTGCTCGCAGGTCTTTATTTTTTTTTTAAGTTAATGGGGACGTATGACGTGTCGTTTACCCATTCTTTGCAAGAAAAAATAGACGTGTCATCTATAATTGTCCAGAATCTGGCTATTGTGACGGTCAGAAAAATAGAGCTCTTGTTTTTTCAATTTAAAAACCTATTTTCAATCCATTGTTAACCTAAAATACCAAGAAAACATTGTTGGAACATTGTCTAACCAACACATAACCTTCAAAAAAGCAACAAAAAAAAAAAGCCACAAAACTTATCATTAATACAAAATCAAAAATCTTTCATTACTCATATTTATTTTTTTAGGTTTTTCAAGGTAAAAAAAAAAAAACCCACTTAATTTTAACTTCCCTGATCATATAGAACTATTTGACATAAAAATTAAACATTTATTTTTTCTAAAGTTAATAGGGCGTACAACGTGTTGTCTACTCCATTCTTTGCCAGAAAAAACAGACGTGTCATCTATATTTTTTGCCAGAAAAAACAGACGTGTCATCTATAATTGCCCAAAATCTGGCTATTGTGGTGGTCAGAAAAATGGGGCTCTTGTTTTTCTAACCTAAAAATCTATTTTCAACGCATTTTTAAACCTAAAACACTAAGAAAACACTGTTTGAATATTGTTTAACCCACCTATGGCCTTTAAAAAAGCAAAAAAAAATGTCACAAAACCCAAAATCAACACGAAACAAAAAAATCGTTCATTACTCATTTATTTTTTTAGGTATTTTCAAGGTAAAAAAAAATACTTTATCTTAACTCCCCTAATCATATAAAACCACTTAACATAAAAATTGATCATTTTAGTAGCTGGAATCGTCGCCAACAACTTTTTCTTTTTAAGTCGGAATTTGACCCCCCTACCCAGGCCCCTTTTTATTCTATTGAAAAGGGACTAAAAAGAGAAAAATGAAGTAATGGCACCAAAATATAATAGGTAAAAATTATTGGAACCGATTATCTAATAGTTTAAAAAGATAAATTACTAAAATGAACTTTTCAAACAAATTACAGAGTTATCATCTAAGTTACTAATGTTTTTTTATTTAAGTTTTCTTTCTTTCAATTTAACCCTCACTTAAAAAAAATGCAATTGAGTTTCAATTTAAACTCAACATGGCTCAATTGTGTTAAAAAAAAAAAACAAGTATCAAATTGAAATTTTTCAAAAACCTCACTATTCAAACATACAATGAAATGTAAGAGGATGAACATTAAAATGGTTATACTAAAAAAGCCACACGTTTTATAATTTTTTATAACTAGGATTGGTTAGTCTATGGGTTTTTTTTTTTTGTTTTTTAAAACAAAAGGATGCTTTGCTGATAAACCAAGAGCTCATTTATTTTTATGTTTTAAAATATTTTTTATTTTTTTTATTTTATTTTTGCTTCAAATTAATTGTTTCTTGGTGTTTTCATATCATTTTAATATGATAATATCAAAAATAAATTTTCAAAAATAATAATAAGAATATTATTTCTATATATTTTCAAGTGAAAATTACTTTTAAAAACAATTATTATTATACTATCAAATGGACTCCAAGTGTATTTTTTTTTAATAAAAAAAAACCTAATATGAGTACTTATTATTTAAGAATACATTATAAAATTTTAGTATTTATGTGAAATATCTTTTACTTTGAAAAAGTTATAAAAAACAGTGATAAAAGTTTGTTCATATATATATATATAAGATAGTGTTAAATCACACACATAATTTTGAAAGAAAAAAAAGAAAGAAAGAAAGTTAGTTTTGGCATCCATGTAGCATTAGAAAGTCATTTTTCTTTTTTCATCTATAGTTTTCATTGAAAAAATAATAAATACATCAAAATTATAATTATTTTAATCAAAAAGTTAAAATTTATAATAATCATCTTAATATTTTTTTATTTATGATAATTTAATTAAAAATATTAATTTTATTTCTTTCAAATTAAAAATTATAATGGAAAAGTTATACTTATTAACTAAAAAATAATTTATACTATAATTTAAATTTATGCCACTAACTAAATATATATAAAAGTGTAAATAATAATAATTTTAATATTCTAGATAGCAAAAAACTATTTGCATATGAAAGAAAAATACTGCATTATTCATTATTTTAGTTTTTTATTTAAGAAATAATGAAAAAATTGTAAATAAAAAACTATAAAGAACCTCTAAAAATGTATTTTTCAAACTTAGTACAAATTTGAAAAACTTAAATACTAATCATTCCATTATCTAGATGGAGAAATATTGCTAAATAGAAAGTTTAAGGTTTTTTCAACTTTTTTAGCATTACTATATTTTTCAACGACACTTTCTTTTGTTCACACCTAATATCACCTTCCCCTCTCTTTTCTAGCTTGAGTTAATCCCCCATCAAGTTCACCCAAAATAAAAACCAACTCAACATCTTTTAACAATTGACGACAACAAGAATAATGACCACTTCTCTCCATGTCACAGAATTAAAGAGGGGTGACCTAATTTACTTCCTATCAACATTTTCATTGTTGCCCCTTCAATTTTAGAAATGCCAACCATTTGAGTGCCACTTCTCTATCATATTGTCCATCTCCTTTGGCTATTTTAACAAATGATAAACTCAACAAAAACAACCCTATCCTCTTTCTCTTTTTGTTAGCTTATTTCATAACCTCT